CTTTCTGCAGTATAATAATTACTGGACTTGATTTTTTTAATTTTTATTTGCAGAATGCAAAAAAACCCCAAAAAACAAAATGTGATGAAGCTCTGCATAGCTGGATAAAGACCCCTCTGCTGAGAGAGGAGAGACTCATTTTGGAGGAACGTCTTCAGGTCTTCTTTCAAGAAGATGTCCAATTGTTTTCTACATGAAGATCTTTCCTGACAGTTATCGCTGAAGTCCGTGAACTGTTTGGTAAATGTGTGTTCTGCTCATCTTGGCAACCTTTCTGACATTTTTCAAACATTATGAGCAAAACTCTGGAAACCAGACTAAGTGCAGTGTGTGGTTCTAAATGTTTAGACAGCAGAACTATTTTAGATGCTAATTCCAAGTTCATCTCTGAGGCATCCATCAGATTGCTGCGGAGCCCTCAGAGTAGAAAAGCACTATATGAGAACCAGTCTATACCATTAATCTAAAGTAACAAAGTGATGGAGCACAAACTTGCCTCCTGGCTTTATTTCAAGGTTAGAGTATACACCAGTATACCTCCTCCTGTCCTCATAAGGAATGTCACACTAAGGACCACAGCAGTCAGCATGTTCACCACGACACAACCAAAATTACAGCAGCTGTTTGCAGAAAGCATGTTGCTTTTGAAACAGTTGCTTCAAAGATGGGGACCAGGTGTGTGACCACTCGCAGCCAGCTGCCATCTTCACATCCACTTTGTGTTGAGACGTCAATAAATGAGCGATTAGATGGATCAGTCTGGTTTCAGTAGTTAACTGAATAGGAGCAAGTTGGCTGCTAACTGTAATAAACTGGCAGAAATATCAAATCTATAAATGATGAAAATCATATATCATGGCAAAAAAGAGTATCTGTTTGAGATTCACTGCAGTCAGCTTAAGTCGGGCAGGTTGGCTCCCATTGGACGGCTGGTTCAATGTTGTTTCACACGTAACCTCTGGGCAACGTTGCCTCTAATGTTTCACGTGAACACACAAACTCCCTGAGCGATCCTTGGGCCACTGTGAGCAACAGCAGACGTGTGCACTGTGGTCACGCCAGCATCCAAGTACATGTTTATTAAAGTAATCACATTACAGCATTTATGTTAGACTACTTTAAATTAACTGCTTTAGCCCACTTACAATGAAAATTAAATAAATCTTGTTCATGTGTAGCATGTTCACACTATTGGAAGGAAAAATAACTT